GTTAAGCAGTTTTGGCGTGACTTTCTATCAGCGATTCCACAAAACTGGACCAACTAAATTCAATTTTTTTTTTATTAAACTCACAAATGATGGCTACTTTTTTCGTGGTTCTTGAAGAAAAAATCTAAAAATTCAGTGTCAACATTTCAAAGGGGCGTAATTGCTTTTGTAAACAATGGCTTTAGCCGTCGATTTCTCGCAAATTAAAGCTCGCCCGCCCAAATTAACAATTCCCGCTGGTAGAGGATACATTCCTCTACCTGTTGAAGTCATTGATTTTCATGTGTGAGCTTTTATTCCCGAGAAATTGACGGTTAAAGCCAGTTTACAAAAGCAATTACGCCCCTTTGAAATGTTGACACTGAATTATGTTTTATTTCAAAGTTTGAGTGGTAGTAAACGTCATTTTAACTGCTCGAATGAAGTGGTTAATTTTGTCGATTGGAATGTATACAGCAGCCAGTGCTGTTAATTTTCATATCATTCGGTTGAAGATGAACCAATACAACAATTCAATCAATTCTATGAAAACGAATTCTCACATGACCATAATTTGAAGAGCCCCTTTCTCATTCGATGCTCATTGACAATTGAGTCACTAACTATCATTTTTGATATACGACAGACTGAACAGACAAGTCGACCCGATGTCGCATCAATGTAAGCAAAGAAAGGAACAGCAGCTTCATGCAAACGCTGATCCAGGAAGTATTTACTCTGACGATTAAAAAATCAACATCGATTTTTTCTTCCTCTAATCATTTTATATTTAGCGTGCTCGTTTATGCCAGTTCAATTTGGTATAAAATGGTATAATTTCTGACTACGTTTTGAAATGACCGTTAGCTTAACAGTTCATCCTGTTTAATACGAACTGTTGTTTTAAAGTGCACAACCAGGGTTACTTCCACTCACTTGCTATAAAAAAATGTTTTTCGTAATTATGAAATCATGATATAGTATAATGCTAATGAGTACTTGTAAGTTACAAGAGGAGGTCATGAAGTATATGTTTGACACATAGAATCTGTCAAAATTGCTTTCAGTGCGTCACAATCAGCGATTTTACGACTCGTGAGCGCTCACTCTGAGTGAACGCTCACGAATCATAAAATCGATAGTTGTGACGCTCTGAAAGCGAAATTGACAAGTTTTATTAGTCAAACACATACTTTACTACCTCTTCTTGTTACTTACAAGTACAACATAGCATTATTGCATCTAATGATTGCATAATTCAGAATAATATTTATATTTACAACCCTGCCTCCAACCTCCTCAACTTAGTGTTCTTCGAGCACTTTCACTACTGTTAATGGAGAGCTTTCTTAGCCTGCTCCATTTTTGCATTCGTATATTGTGTTGCAAGCACAATCATACTCTATTCCCAAGCAAGTTGAGAAGTTTTCCAACCCGATTTTTTTTTACTGGACCGGAATGAGAACAGCCACCTTCAGCATGGCCTTAATTTTAGCTGTGCTCCTTTATCAACAAATCTAAGATACCATCAGATTTTTGGAACAAATATGTTTTCTTCAGACCTAACCAACAGATTCCAAATTGGTGGGAGTGGAAGCGAGAGAAGATTCCAATTGACCACTTTGTCAAGCAGTTTTGGCGTGACTTTCTACCAGCAATTTCACAAAACTGGACCTATTAATTTCTATTTTTTTATTAAACGCACACATGTTGGCTACTGTTCTCGAGGTTCTAGAAGAAAAAAATCTCAAAATAATGTTTTATTTCAAAGTTCGAGTGGTAGTAAACGTCATTTTAACTGCTCGAATGAAGTGGTTAATTCTACATTAATGGCGGTAAACTCCAACTCGGATTAACTTTTAATACAGTCCCTGTTTGTAAAATCTGCTAAATACTTGCTTATGAATGAATTAATTAACAACAACGTCGCTACCAAATCAATCGGACTTATTTTAATCGAGATTTAATCCGAGTATAATATTGTCGTTTCACTTGAAAGCTGGAAAATCAGACTAGCGAAGTTGGATTTTTTTTTTCTTGTTTGTAATCACCCAATGATGCGCTATTTAGCGCACTATACCTTAGGTTTAACGTTTAAAACAGGTCATATATTTTTTTATTTACTTCACGAGTCCAGCTTCCAAGTGGATCGACAATACCGGTTGAGGGTTACCGCCATAAGCATGTTTCAATTCGATAGATTGTAAAAATACAACGTTGTGCGAATACACGCTAACTTGAAAGTACCCATTAATGAGTAAAATTTTACCAATAGTGGCTCATTAAATGAGTATAACCGACTTTACTCATTAATGAGTATTCTACGAATACTTCAGAAAATGGGTCTTTTCTATTCTTGGTGCTTTTTTGTTCATGAGTGAAAAGTACCGTAAAACGGGGTATCTTTGATAATGCGGGTAACTTTGATAGTATAATATAAAGATTAAATTTACTCGCAGCGCTTTTTCCAAATTAGACACATTGATTCCATATTGTAGGTTAGGGTATTTCCGTTGATATCGTATATATTTTTTATATAGTATGTGTTACATATTTTACAAACATATTATAAAACAATTTTCGTGTTTTTCACCTGTTTGAAAAAGCACTCAAACCATCACTTATGCAATGTATTTCCAATATAGCCATCACAATTTCAATGTTGTATCAACCGGTGAACACTCGTGTTTATTTCAGTTACCGTGGGGACGTAATTTGTGATTAGCCCCGGTCCCTTTCAAATTGTATCATTATTTATGTACGGTCCTTATATTTGAAATGACGTTTCACATTCATCTAGTGATGGCCGATTTTCATTTGAATAATCGATTAATCGATTAACGAACCGAAAAGTAAAATATTTGTAATCGGTTATATCATGCCGATCTAAGCATTATCATCTCCAGAGGATCATCACCGATCGTTTCAAACATGTGCTGCACTCTCATTGGTGGAAAAATGGCAGCACAGCGAACAAAAAAAAATCGATTAGCTGTTAATCGAGTAATTAAAAGATGGGACATCTCTGATTTGGTGTGATTGTTTTGATCAAAATGAGCGCCAAATTTCATCTCTACCGAGGGGACAGCAAAACCACAAAATTACCTTGAATACGGGGGGTATTCATTGGATGAAAGGTACCGTGAAAGAAGACACTAAAATAGAAAGATTTTCTTCCGACAGTTTCATCTTAGCATTCATCTTGGGTTGTATTCTTATTGGTTATGAAGTCTTCTGATTATATACTCATTCAAAGTTTCATATTAAAAGAACTAAATTGATTGAATTTCACTCATTTTTTTCTACATTCATCGAGCATTATCAAAGTAACCCCAAATCAAGTTCGGTCACAAAACTAAAAAAATAGTGCAAATGCTTTAATTTTCGTTCAACATATTCCTAACGAATCAACTCTTGGATCATCAGTACTTGTTTTAAAAATATAAAATTTGTAAAACATTCAGTGCTGTAAAAAATATTTAGAATATACTTTAAAAAAACTAAAATTTTTTTGAAAATACCCATTTTTTGACAACTTAGAATAAATTAAAAAAATGAGTACAAAAAACTCATTTAAAGGGTACTTTTGTGTTAGCGTGTACAGCGCATTTTGTCGATGTTATGTTTTACATATACAAATCGAGAGTAAATCAATTGGCCCGTGTCGGAATTTTCGGTTTTCTACTTTACCGTATACGTTACTATAAAAATGAATTGTATTGGTAGAAAAATATTTTATTTTTTCATAAAACCGCTTTAAAGCAGTCAAGCTGTACTTAAAGTTGTCATTAAAACTGGTATAATCCTACCAATATTTTCCGTGTAAAAAGCGTACTTTCCACCGCTAAGTGGCACTCTGAAATACTTTGATTTTTTTCACTTTTCGAATCAGAGATGAGCTTTCTTTCTTTGATGTAAGGCAAATTTAATGTTGATGTCGACTCATTGTCGTGTTGTCGGGTCAATTTTGAGTTTATGTCGGGTCAACATCGGGTTGGAGTTTGGTAGAAGTCAGGTTAGTGTCGGGTTGGCTTAGCTTTTTCACCAGAATGTCAACCAGAGCTCCGTGTATTTATAGGCTACACTCCATTGAATGATATCAAGCGTTTCTCAAATGAGAATGATCCATGCCTTCGTCAAATGACTAAGCAACTGATATCACCCATTCGAAGGAGGTCCCCTTTGATAGCTGATAGCTGCTTTTCTCATTTTCATAAAAAAATGTTCAATTGATTTTGAGAATTTACAGAACTGGTAGAAACATTGACACAAACTTCACAATATTTTCTTGTTGCTTACACAAACAACATATTATCATAATATCTTATGATTCCATAAAACATTTTTTAGCCAAAATGAATGGAAGAAACCACATGTTTGTGCCCAGATATTGCCAGAACTTGACTTTTTTGTATAGATGTCTGATAAATTTTCTTTAGAAAACCCCCGTGCTTGAAATAGGGTCTCGGAGGGGCTGAAACCGTTATCCGCCCTACATATGGATGATTGTCTAATCTATTATGTTTTCAAACAGGTTTATGAACAGCCCATCCCCTTACTGGTACATATCAAAACTCGTACAATTTTTTTTAATACTTCGTGCCATAAACGATAAATAATACACCTCTCCCACTTAGAAGTTTTCAACCTGCGTAACGGGATAATAGACAACTTATCAAAAACCAAGAAATAATCAAATTTTTAAGATCCCACGATTCTATGGTGCAATAAAACTCCAATCTCATGATTGTCCTTCCAGAATTATATAATAGATTGGATTACATTAACTATTGCAAAACAATTAAAATACTATAAAAACATTAATGACCCGATTTTGTCAGCACCCTTTTTGAAAATCTTTTCCAATGTTCTACGAACCCTATGCTTCCAATGGTCTTACACCAAAGGATACCTTAAACATCCATATTGAAGATTTAGGGGCTGACAAAAACGGGTCATTAACAAAGTGGTTTATGGACAGCAATAACAATAACAAAAACTTATTTTTCATTTTCTTCCAGAAACTGACATGGAAGGCACGCACCACCGTTGCCGACAAGGTCAAGGATCAGGATGCCGTTCTCAAGAAATACGGATACCTCACCTCCGAGTTCGAGAAGAAATGTAGTCGGCCTGTTCTCAACGCTCAGCCAGCTAAGCTAGGAAAGAAGAAGCGTCAGGCCGCTGCTGGTGCAGATAAATAATGTCTTGCTCTGCGATGTTGAAGACAAACAACTAATAAATTTGAAACAAGTTTATCCGCTAGTACTTTATTTATTTCTTGCACCTAATTAAGCCGAGTCTAGAAAGTCTATTCAAACATGTAGGGTAACTGAGCGATTCGGTAATACCTTAACCCTAAGTTTATCCGCTAGTACTTTATTTATTTCTTGCACCTAATTAAGCCGAGTCTAGAAAGTCTATTCAAACATGTAGGGTAACTGAGCGATTCGGTAATACCTTAACCTAATATCGGCAGGGGCTAAATCCTTGAGCGCTAAATTTTGGCCAATCGATGCTCTGAATCATGATGTATCATCATGCAAAAAATGTGCACTCAGAAACAGGGATTTTGTTTATCTCTTGGTGCAAATAGGTACAGGTGTTAACAAAGCCGCCATTTCCCTTAAATAATTTTGCCAATCTCCCTGTTATCTGACTGACCTAGGGGTTTATTACGGATGTCACTTCACGGTGAAAAGTTGTCACTTGTCGTCACGGTAAAGTGATTCCCATTTGATTTGTACGGTAATCACGGCTCTTATTCTGAGTATCACTTGCTTATCACCGTGTAGTGACACCCGTAATAAGGCCCCTAATATAGCTACATTTTCACCCACATCATTTCACTTGTATGTCGGTTGATTGGTAGCCCTTTTTTCAGATATCCAGAGCATAATGTTTACGGAGAAACGAAATATCTTAAAATTAAGTCTTTTGTACTCATCTTGACACCAGTCAAAATTGAGTTCTTTGCGAAGAATCCAAATTTGTGTGTTTTGCAAAGACTTCGTTTTGAGTAGATTTTAACTGTTTCAGAAAGAGTGAATGTTGGATAAAAACTACGCAAAACCGGGAAATTTAGTTGAAAAGGGGGATTTTTCAGTTTTTTTTCATATTTGTGAAGAGAACTAAAAGGACAGAGAACAGACATCCAAGTCAAATTCCTAAAGTGTGTAAGAAATTTAACTGCTATTTTGAATAGGCATTGAAACTAGCAATACCGTGGTGGCGCTAGTGTTGCTGTCCATCGACGTCGTTGACCGGCAGACGTCATCTTAACATAAATGTCAACATTGTTATGGGCAAAACATTTTGTTTAAAACCGATCAAAACACGGGCCGGTGCGAGGGGGGCGACACATCTTCTTCTTCGCATTTCAAGCTTATTGCATATCGCATATTAGCCAGCTAGCTGGCATCCCTATCTTGTTTGCCTTGCCTTGAAAAGAGCTAACATCGCTGCGGACCCGCGAATTGCGGGCCCCACTGACAGCTCATAATTTGTAAACAAATAGAAGATTCAAGCCAGAATTTCAAAAAAGGCGTGACTGATATTATGGATATTCTTAATATTTTTGCTTACATTTTGTGAAAAATAAACTTAGGACTCATAAAATATTATTTTCTGATTTTCTTCCACGAAGTCAACCATTTATATGGCATAAAAGGGAAAATAATTTCATTTGATAAAAATAAGACAATTCAGTCACGCCATTTTTGCAGTTCACACTGGAATTGTGACGTTCCAGATGTTGGTTTCAATAACATGGCGGCATGCCAGCCAGCTGATATTAGCTTATTGCGTGCTCTCAACTTAGTGTTCTAGATGCACTTCCACAGTTATTAATTGAGAAGCTTTCGATGCCTTTACCATTTTTGCATTGTTATAATTTTGTGGCAAGTCCAATCATACTTCTAAGCCCAGGGGAGTCAAGAAATTTTCCAACCCGAAAAATTCCTAGACCGGACCGGGAATTGAACCCAGCCACCTCCAGCATGGTCTTGCTTTGTAGCTGCACCTTTACCGACTGAGCGGCCGGTGTGAGTGTGAGTTTCATTGGTGCGCAATTAAACAAGGTGTTACCAAGCGAAAATCTTTTCTCAATTTTCCTAAGCATGCTGCATTGCCCGAACTACAGGAGATTCTCTTCTCACGTGGAGTCCAAGCGCTTGCAACGTGCAACACTTCCCTCGGAGGCTTTTCGAGTTCCTGGATGAACGGATGTAGAGTTCAATCTTATCACATTTTTCTGAATTTAAACAAGGGCTAATTAGAGTTCACACCCTCACTGAATCATTTGAAGATACGCCGCCAGTGAATCAAGAAAAAAAATAGTTTCGCTCCTGACTACTATGCCATGTTAACGGCGCCGGTGGTGTAGTGGTAAGCGTGATTATCTCTCACCCCAGCAGGCCTGGGTTCAATCCCAGTCGGCGCCGCCGGGATGTTCTGAGGCATAACATCTCTGATATGCCTTCCTTCGGATGGGAAGTAAAGCCGTTGGTCCAATCATACTTCTATGCCCAGGGAAGTCGAGAAATTTTCCAACCCGAAAAATTACTAGACCGGACCGGGAATCGAAACCAGTCACCTCCAGCATGGTCTTGCTTTGTGGCTGCGCCTTTACCGACTGAGCGGCCGGTGTGAGTGTGAGTTTTATTGGTGCGCAATTAAACAAGGTGTTACCAAGCGAAAATCTTTTCTCAATTTTCCTAAGCATGCTGCATTGCCCGAACTACAGGAGATTCTCTTCTCACGTGGAGTCCAAGCGCTTGCAACGTGCAACACTTCCCTCGGAGGCTTTTCGAGTTCCTGGATGAACGGATGTAGAGTTCAATCTTATCACATTTTTCTGAATTTAAACAAGGGCTAATTAGAGTTCACACCCTCACTGAATCATTTGAAGATACGCCGCCAGTGAATCAAGAAAAAAATAGTTTCGCTCCTGACTACTATGCCATGTTAACGGCGCCGGTGGTGTAGTGGTAAGCGTGATTATCTCTCACCCCAGCAGGCCTGGGTTCAATCCCAGTCGGCGCCGCCGGGATGTTCTGAGGCATAACATCTCTGATATGCCTTCCTTCGGATGGGAAGTAAAGCCGTTGGTCCCCGGTTCATGAGTTGATGGGTCGATAGGTAGGGTCCAGGGAGCTGCCTTCCTGGCACGTCGGTAGCATTGGTGCTAAGCACGGAAAACAAGATCGATGGAAAAAAACAAACCAAAGGAAAAAAAAAAATACTATGCCATGTTAAAATTGGAACTAAAAACGGTTGAAGATCAACAGGAAACTGTAAAAGAGCTTAGTTTTTTTTATTCTAAAATAATGGTTCCGCAGAAACAGGATTCATTTCCTTTGTTTTGTTATTCGTGTTGAAAATAAACGTATTTATTTTTGTTTGGTTTGACAGCTATGCGAACAATAATAAATGTTTATTTTAAACATGCTTCTCATGTTTAAAATAAACATACATATTTTGGAATTATTTTAGTAGTTGAGTGCAGGGTAAAGCAAAATATAACGGTTTGCAAAGAAATGAAAAAAAAAGATCTTCGGGCAGGGCATCTTAATTCCTGCTCTTTTTCGGGTGCGATTAAGGGTGACCTATGGCTATGGGTATTGGGGTCCTGGCCCGGGATGCGAGGACCCGTCGGGGTGGGTGTCCGGGGGTTCCAGTTCAGTGGAACCGGTGCAAATTTGTGTTATTAGCATCGTTTTGCCGTTTCTGCCACTGGTCCTCATACCGGTTTTTTTTTTTCCATGTTCGGTATCGGAGGAGGATCCGGAATGGATGGCCGTTTTCTGTTGAGGCCAGCGTTGCCAGAATGTTTTAAAGCTTATCGGTATCAAATGTTTTAAAAAATCGGTATTTGTCGGTATTTACTTTTTTAATTAATTTTATATTTTTGCCGTTTTTGAAAGTAAAAATTTAAACTTTTGAAATATGATCTGAAAATTCCGAAAGAAAACTCCGGGGAATGTTTGAATTAGCTTCTGAAGGAAGCTGAAAACCCAACAAACAATTCAAGTTGATCAACAGCTGAATAAGCTATTTTTTAGCTGAAGAAGCATGTTCTTGCCTGAATAAGCTCTTATTCAACGCCCAATGTTTGTTGGGAACAACATCCAGAGAAAGAAGAAAGTTCAGTTTCCTGGAGAAAAGTTGAGGAAAGTTCTGAGAGAAGTCGGAAAAACATCCGCGGAACTTCCAAAACATAAATTGAGAAACTTCTGGCGAAAATTTAAAGAAACTTTCAGAAAAATATCGGATTTCACATTCAAAGAGGAAGGCAGAAAAGTTTCGGAAATCGGAAGTAAATTCCAGAAGTAGCCATTCCAGGGGAAGCCAGAAGAAGCTCGGAAAAACCTTGCAATAGAAGTAAAAAAAAAAAAAAACAACTGGGCAAAATTCCAGAACTAGACAAAAGAAATTTCTGAGAGAAGTTTAATTGAACTTGCTGGAGAAGATAAAATAAATTTCCTGGAGACGCTGGCAGAAACTTCCTAAGGTAGATAAGAAAAAAAAATCTTGAGAAAGTCAGAAGCCAGAGCGTTTACGGAACAGTTGAAAGAAACAAGGACATAATTCCGGAAGAAAGAGCTCCTGGGGGATGTTATAATGATCCAGAAAATTTTCCAAATGGTCATAAAACATCCCTGAAGACCCCGCAATGCTCCTGAAGTTTTTGAAACATTCCTGAAATGTACTTAGGAATATTCCATATTTCCTCGGAATTCCTTAAAAGTTCTTCTAATTTTCCTTAAGTTGATAGGGCTGTTTTGGAGTACTCTGATCATTTTTGAAATACTTGGAACTTTCCTGATTATAATGAGGTCTCTAGACTTTCTTGAAGATTACGAAATATCTTAAGCGCTCTCATTTTCTTTCTTTCTATTGTAACATCAGCATTGAAGTTCTCTCTTCTCTTTCCGATTTTTCTAATTTTTAAAAGTATTCAACACTGCCATTAATAAGCACGGAACTTCCCATAAAATGTTCTCACAATGTGCTAATGTTCATGTAACTTCCCTTACGTTTCTAAAATTTGCCTAAAATGAGCCCCTCTGAACATTGCTGAAGTTTTTGGAAATCGCCTGAGTTTCTCGGAATTCCTTTAAAATTTCAGCGATTTCATTGAAGTTTATTGATCTGTCCTGATGTTCTCGGAGCTTCCTAAAGTTCTCTCAATTCTCCTGAAACTAAACTGTCCTGAAAAACCATTACATTTTCCGGAAGTTCCTTGGACTTGTGGAAGTATCCAA